TGCCGGTGCCAGTGGAGACCCCCTAGTCTCCAGGGCCCTGCGCCCCGCAGTCCTGTCTTCGGGGGTGTGAGAAGCAGGCCACCGGGGCCTCTTATTGGTGGCCACGGCCGGAACCCTACAGGGAAAGGCTGCAGCCTCAGGAGGCCTGACCGTCCTGCGTCACCCGCAACCGGTTAAGTCTCCTGGGTCAGGGGAGCCGGCGCTTGTCACGTGCACCTGGGCTCCCTGGTGACCGACCTGCGGGGTCCATGCTGTGTGCTCTGCTCTGGCCAATGAGGAGGAACGGTGGCTCCTTGTGCTTCCTGCTGAGATGTGCATCCCAGGCCCCCGTTATCCTTCTTTCTTTAATTCACATTCCTGGACAAGGTGGACCTGAGCAAGACTCTTTGGGGCCGTGTGGTTAGAGGGTGACCTGCATGGGTTCAGAGCTGTGTGTGGGGCTGCGGCCACAGCATACCCTGGGGTCCAAGTCCATGGTTAGTGCTACCTCCGTAGCTCCCTTTCTCCAAGCCCCTCTTTGCTGAAAGTTAGGGGTGCATGTGTATCCGGGTGCTGGGCGGGTTCCAGAGGACATACGGATGGGCTGGGGGTCCCCGCGCCTGACGGGGCTGGAGAGAGATGAGACCGGCTTCGGTTTGTGGAGGAGCCTAAAATCACCCATGTGTACACGCACAAAAATGCCTTAAAAAGAAAAGACGAGGCCTGGGTAGGTTTTGTTCTCTCTGGATGGAAAAGCAGGTACGAGTCTGGCTAGCTCAGTTCTCTGGTTGTCGGAACTGGTGTCTCCAAAGCACCTCCACTCGTCACTTGTGCAGGTCACCGCATTCTGGCGGCTCTGGAGGCAAAGGAAGAGTGGGCGGGGGCTCCTGGACAGGCGGGCCCCAGGCGTCTGCCTGCTTGGGATCCGCACTGCAGCAGCTCCTGCCGTGTGCAGGCCCTCCCTCTAGTGCAGTCCCCACACCTACCCTGAGGGGCGCTATTTCATTCACTCGCTCACTCGTTCACTCCACAGTATTTTTAAATCCGAGCTGTGAGCAGGGGGCCGTCTGTCCGCATGTGGACACTGGGGCTTGGAGAGGCTAAGCAGTTTGCTAAACGGAGGCAGGAGGGATGGCAGGGGATTGCGGAGCGAAGCTCGGGGTCTGAGAGGCATGGATGGGGGGTCCTGGCTCCACCCCACTCTGCACCTCTGGGTGGCGGCCAGTTTCCCCTTCCTGGTCCTGCACGTCCTCACCAGGTGAATGGGGCAGTGCTGGTGCCTGTGTCCCAGAACTGCTTGGAGGGCTGGATGAGATTCCCTGGGGAGGGACGGAGGGTGACGCTGGGCACATGGGGCCCTTCATGCTAGTCGCTGTCATGGTCACTGCCCAAGGTCACAGGGAGAGTCAGGTTAGAACCCCCTTCCCTCCTGTCACCATGTGCTACCTCCTGCACCATCGCCTGCAGGGCCTTCTTCTTTCCGCCCACCCCACGGGGCCTTCCTGCCCCTGCCGCTGCCCCTGCCGTGTGGGGAAAGGTAGCCACCCCCTGCACCCAGGTCTCCTCACCCACTGGTGGGCGTGCTCCTCCTCTGTTCTAGAGACTGTTCTCGGAGCCCCGGAGGAGTGCAGAAAATGTGGGCTCCACGCGGACTTATCCCTGTTCCTCGCCCCTCAAACAGGGCGGCTCTCGCTGGCCCCCACTGGCTCCCTCCCATGCCGTGTGCCCAGAGGTGATCACGCACAGAGCCAGAACCGCTTCCCTGTTGGTCCCCCCGTGCACCCCCCCTGCAAGGACCATGGTCTCCCAGTGCAAGAGGGATGAGTCTCCCACTCCCGCCTTGGGGAGCTGTGGCCGCATGAGGCCAAGACCTTGGCCCCTCCGCTGTGTCCCGTGGAGGAGACAGTGCCTACCAGGTCCCAGGGGCATCTGCTGAGTCCTGCTGTTGTGCCACAGCGTGCATCTGCCAGGAGGGCTTGCTCCTGATGAAGCAACTTCTGTCCTGCAACAACCCCTTGAGCAAAGGGAGGCCCAGAGAAGGACTCCCTGTTCCTTCCCCCTAGGTGCAGTGGGGCAGGCAGCGGGTCCCCCAAGGGTCCGGAAGTCCCGCCTGTTGGGTTAGGCGGGATGGACTGTGGCTGGGGGCGGAGCAGTGGCTGGAGAGCTTTAGGGCCGAGTGGGAAATCGGGAGCCATGGGAGGTGCGCATTTCCAGGGCTGCCCTGGCGCCTTCCCAAGGCTCAGGCTCGGTGCTCAGAATCCGGGTCCGCGTTTGTGTCTCCGGAACCTTTACACTGGATGCTGGCGAAAGGGGGTGGGGGTGGGGGTGGGGTGGGGCGGGGTGCATTCAAACCCCAGTTGAGCATAACCCCCACCCCCATCCCTGTCAACCGCGGCTCCCAAATGCTGCGTCTCGTCAGTGTCCCCTGCCTGCCTCCTGCGCCCCTGGAGAAGACGCGCCTAGCCGTGTCCGCCCAGTGACAGACAGCACAGAAACTTGGGGGCCTGGTGAGTGAGGGCTGGGCGCCGGGCCGGCGGGTGGTGGCCGAGGCTGGGTGCTTGTTCATGGTCCCAGGAGTCCTCTCCAGGCTCCTGGTGCCCGGGGCTGCGTGGGACCTTCGAGCTCTCCGGGCCAGCAATGTCATGGAGACTATAGGTCCAGACCCCGGATGCCTCTTTCATCCGAGCCCGGGACACGGCTTTCTTTTTCCCTCTTCCCGAGGAGCGCGCCCCCGCGGGTTGTCTCTACTTTCTTACATGCCCCTCTCGGCTTGCCCGCGCTTCCGTCCCGCCTCGGAGGGCGAGGAGCCTCCGGAAGCGCTGCGCTGGTGGTGGAGCCTGGGACATCGGCTCTGGGAGGCGCGCCCCGGGACTCCACGGCAGGCAGAGGCGAGGGGCGCTGGGCAAAGTCCGCGCCCTTGCTAGGGAAGCACAGCCCAGGCCCAGGAGATCGCGGCGGTGCCGGGGCCAGGGGCCCAGACTTTGGTCCGGGGCCCCGCCCCATTGCCGAGCTCGAGCTCAGCTCGAGCTCGCTCTGTCTCCGCCGCGCGCCTGGCGCGCACAGCCCATCCCCCCCGACGTGACCCGGCGTCCGCAGCGCCCCCTGCCCTAATCCGGTTTAGGCTGGCACCGTCCCCACCCTGGGTCCTTTTCCCTTTCAGGTGGAGGCAATGCCCAGTTCCTGTGCGTCTGGGGCCCGCCAACTGCCGGGATCTTGGGCGGTAGAGACGAGTCTCCCGCCCCGGGGTGGCGCGCGCGCAGGAGGGAGGACCCAGAAGCGGGCTCCGCCTGGGCTTGCCTGGGCTTGTTCAGAGCCGGGCTTCTTCCCTTCGCGACCGTGCAGAGCCGGGGGATTTCGAGATTCTGCAGGAGCCTCGTCGCCAAGCTCGAGGAAGAGGGGGCTGGAGTCCCCGCGACCTGCCCACCGTGTCCAAGAAAGAGTGAGCGCAGGTAACCGCGTGCGTTCTCAGTCGCGTGGAAGTTCGTGAAGAAGGAGGCAGGAACTAGACCCAGTGCTTTAATTACAACAATAATGCGAACCCTGTTGAATTATGTGGTCTCCGAGTCATACGGAGGAGAATTCCCAAGAAGTAACAAAATGCGCTTTGATTTCATAATCCCTGGAGAGAAAGGATTCCTTTTCTGGGTTTTGCGCGGCTGGTTTTCCCTTTCTTCCTCACGCCCCATCGCGGGTGCGGGCGGCCCGCCGGTCTAGCCGGTCTAGGAGTGGAGACCGGGGCTCTGGTTTTACGGCCTCTGCTCACCCAAGTGAGACCGGAGCAAATACCTCGACCCCGGCGGGAGACGGAGGGGAGGGCGCGTTGAGACTGGCTCCCCAACTGGGTTGCCGAACACCTCAGGGGGTGTGAAAAGTGCTGCGGTCACTGAAGTAGTGCCGTGGAAGAGGTCGGGTCTCCCAGCTTGTGTTTCAGTCTTCCGGTCCCCAAGGTGAGCGTGCGCGCGGCCCTCCCTCGCGCCCCACCCCCACCCCCACCCCGCTGGCCTGGGAACTTGAGGAAGGGCGCTGAAGCTCCTGGCGGAGACCAGCAGGCAGCGGAGGCCCGGTCCCCAGGTGAGGTGGTTGTGGCCAGGGGCGGGGCACATGTCCTGGTGCCCTCCCTCTTTCTGTGCCTGGCCAGGCAGAGGGAGCGAGGGGACCCTCGGGCTGTGCAGAAAGCCCAGGGCCCGCGCCCTCCGGATCCGTCCACGCTGGTCTCCTGCAGCGAGGCGTGCCCGGGCTTCCTGGAAGAGCCCCACGGAGCTCTTTAGCAGTCATGTCCAGGAGGCAGAAGGGCCCCCTAATGTATGTGGGGCCGGCTCTGCCTCCGCCTCCAGGTCTGAGAGCCCTGGGGCAAAGGCATGAGCCACAGGGGCCGTGCAGCGGTGGTCCGGCCGGGTGGGCGGAGCCAGGGAGGCTCTGGTACTCGCCCACATTCCCTCTGGGGGTCTGTCCAGGGGCAGAGGGCTGTTGGGGCAGCATGCGCTAGGACCCTGGGGCCTGTCTCCTGAGCTTCCCAAACCTGAGGACTGGCCTGCTTGGCCCCGCCCACGAGCTTTCTCTGCAGCCTCAAGGGTCCCTGGCCTGCACCTTGACTCCCTGCCGCCTGGGCATACCTGACAAATCAATGATGCCAACTAGGCCCAGACCGTCCCCGGGTCCTTGCTCGTTGCAGCTCACCGGGTGGCACTTCCCACGGATCTCGAAGTCTGATCGCCACCCCAGGCGTGAACCTGCCCTCGTCACTGGCCCCTGGGCCGGTGGGTGGAGGAAGTTGAAAGGTGAATAAGATGCCCCTGGTGACAGGTCACTCAACCTCAGGTTACAGGAGATCACCCGGCACGCTGCAAGTGTTTTTTTTGTTTTTTGGGGTTTTTTTTAGATTTTATTCATTTATTTTTAGAGAGGGAAGGGGGGGAGAGAGAGAGAGAGAGAGAGAGAAACATCAATGTGCAGTTGCTGGGGGCCATGGCCTGCAACCCAGGCATGTGCCCTGACTGGGAATCGAACCTGCGATGCTTTGGTTCGCAGCCCATGCTCAATCCACTGAGCTATGCCAGCCAGGGCTCTGCAAGCGTTTTTTAAAACAGGCCACACCTGACCCTTTAGTCAGGGGCACTGACCTCCTTTCCCTTAGGCTGTCACATAAAAAATGACAACAGCCAACACAACAACGGCCGCCGGGTGTGATTGAATCAAAATTTTACCCACTTTTTTTTTTGGTCCGATCAGCAAAATCTATGAAACGTTTTTCGGTGCGCTGCAGAATTTTAGTCATTAGTGTGTGTGTGTGTGTGCCTGGAGCTGGAAAAGGCTGAGCATCACGGTAATAAGGAGAGAGGCAGGACTCATTCACTCGTTCACCCAGCCGACGGTTTCCGAGTCCTTGCTGGGTGCCGGCGTCGTGTCGGCACCAAGGCTGCCGCCGTGAGACGCACGAGCACGTCTTCGCTTGTGTGGGGCCGGTCTTCTGGCGGAGCGGGCGGGAGATGGATGTGCAGAGGAGTGTGTGCGAAGCTACGTTCGGTCATGATACGTGCTGTGAAGGGGTAGGAGGGCGAAGCGTGTGCTGGGGAGGGAGTGGTTTTTTTTTTTTTTCCTCTCTGATGGGAAAGGGTTGAGTCACTGAGGGGCGGGGAGGGCTTTCCAGGCAGCCAGGCCGGCGGATGCAGATCCTGCCCTTGGTGCATCTGAGGCCTTTGCAGGGAAGCCAGTGAGGCTGGGGTAGTCGGGTGACAGGGGAAGTCAGGAGGCTCTGAGGCCTTGGCGAGAACACCCACGGCGTGGTGGGCGGGCAGCTGCCTCCCGAGGGTTTCCCGCTGCAACCGTCCCGATCTTCTGCGTTAAAACGATCGCTCCGGCTGTTGCGTGCGGCATGCACCGAGAGCGGCAGCAGGGACACCCTCTCTGGAGGCTGCTCCTGGGCCCAGCGAGAAGCCGTAGCGGCCTGGACTAGGGCGGCGGTGCGGAGGGGAGAGAGGCAGGAGGCTTTGGAGGTAGTGACAGCGGCCTGCTGCCGAGTGGACGTGGGGTGGGAGGCAGGGAAAGGACAGACGGAGGTGTTGCCACAGTTTGTGGATCAGTAAACGCACCGATCGGGAAGCGTTGGCTGAGATGGGGAGACCTGCTGTGGGGTTCACTGGGAGACCTGGAGTTTGGGGCGTCGGAACCTGGACTGTAGGAGAGGGGTCTCTCTGTGGCTAAGACAATACCGAATGGTACCACAGGACTGGGGGGCCCTGCTGAGGGGGTGCGTGGGGGAGCGGAAGGTGGGCAATAGTCATCTTGGGGCGTGGAGAGAGACCGGACAAGGAAAGTGACAGGACAGAGCCTGATGTGCGGCAGGGCCTGGGTCAGTCTCGGGTGGGTGGGCAGACGGGTGGACGGAAGGACAGACCACACCGTGCAGTGCAGTAGGGCTGCTGTGCGGAGCTGAGGGTCTGGCCGCAGACCGGGGGACGTGAGAATACAGTGAGGGCTCTGGGATTTTGGGGGCTCACGGGGCTGGGAGGGGCTGAGGCAGTTTTGGGGAAGTGGAAGGGATCTGATCTGAGCCTGGGAGCGCAGCCGGGATTCAGAGACAGTTGGAGCGAAGGGAAAGGTACGTGGAAGGGAATGGCAGTAGCAAAACTGGGAATGCACGAGGCCTAAGTACTCTTTAGCTGGCAGCTGCAGGTAGCGGGGTGGAGCTTGGTGGGGGGAGGGTTCTTATGAAGGGGCAGTGGATGGGGAGGAATGGCCGAGGCTCCTCCTTTACCCCCTCCCGCGTGTGGGGACTGCAGGGCGGAGGGATTGGCAGGGTAGAGAGAGAGCCTGCCCCAGGGGCCCTGTCTTCATTCCCTGGCCTCTACCCTCTCGGATCCCGGGTGACCCCACCCTGTCTGAGCAAAGCTGGCCCACTCCTGCCACCCACCTTGGAGAGCTGAGCAGCCCAGGTGTGGCACCTGGTGGCCCGTTCTCTGGTCCCCCTGAGGCAGGGAGGGCATGGGGATCATGATCCTCATTTTTGATCGGTGCAGAATGAGGTGCGGGAAGGCGGGGCCGCCCCTCCCTGGGGGGTGATGTGGGAGGAGCCTCAGCCCGGGCTCTCCAGCTGTGGTTGCACCTGCGGCCTTTGCTGGGGGGGCCTGCCCGCCTCTCTGGTGTCAGGACCGGGGTGGGCAGGAACACCTGTTTGTGTCACGTGGAGAGGGAGAGAGTGCTGACTCCAGAGCCATTGGAAGTCACACTTTTTTCTTTCAGGCTGTGGGACAGCAGGGTGGGGTGTGTGTGTGTGTGTGTGTGTGTGTGTGTGTGTGTGTGCACGCGCGCCCACGAGCACATGCCCATTTGGGGAGCTGACCCTTTAAACCCCAACCTCAGTGACTGAAGAGTCCTTAGCAATGAAAGCAGTTGGTGGCCAGCTGTGGGCCAGCCCCTCTCTGTCTGGGCCTGGCCGTAGGTGCCAGGCGGAGGCCACTAGATACCAGCATCCAGCAGGAGAGCGGGCCTTTTATCTCCCTTGAAGGGCACCCCGTTCCCCAGTGGGGCCCCCAGGGTCCCTCAGCGCCTGGCTTCCAGTCAGAGACTTCCTTCCCGGGCCCATGTCTGCCCCTAGCTGCATGACTCCGGACTGATGACTAACCTTCCGGCTGTGGTTCCTCCTCTGTGAACCGGGGTTGTGCGAGGACCCACTCCACGGGGCTGGTGTAAAACAGATCGGACAGTGAGCGCGGACTGTGGAGCAGGGTGCTGTGGCTGCTGCCTACCGGGTGCCGCCGGGGATGGAGAGCCTCGCTTCCCAGAAGTGGGATCGTTTCACTGAGTCCGGACCCCCTTCCTCTCCACGGATAGATGCAACCTAGCGAGGCTTTGGGGTTAGTTTGTTTGCTCGGTTTTTGCATTGCAAATATCCCTCTTTTCCACTTCCTAAAAATCAGTGCTTTCCTTTGTTGAAGCCTCAGGTTGATGCAAATAAAAACCCCTGCTCCCGGGTCCCTGGCTGTGGGCAGGTGGTAGGTGATCCCAGCGCGTGGAACCCACGGTGTACCAGTCTAGTCCTGGGGCGCCCCGACCTCAGGGTGCCAAGTGACGTCTCCTGCACCTTCCGCGGATGCAGTCCAGAGGGCTGAGACGACTCCTCCCTGTCTCCCGGCCTCACCTGACGGATCCCGTGCACGCCCCTCCCGCCCCAGAGGCCAGGCCTCTCCTCCCTGGTGGCTGATTGGCCCGGGGCTGGGTGCCAGGCTCTCTATGAAGAAAGTGGAGTTTCGACACTCAGGAGATGGAAAGTGGGCGGAGGAAAGGGAGGGTCCGTCCGGAGGAGAAGGAGCTGCAGTGGGGGGAGGGGCGCCCCTGGGGGGGGCGGCGGTGTTAGCTGACTGGAGCTGAATTGATTCCTCGTCCTGGCATCAGACGTGTTCTGAGGCCGCCACGTCGTCTCACGACGAAAGGAGTGAGGGTGGCCTTGGGCGTGGACGAGCCTGCTGCCCCTCCTGCCCCCCTTTCCTGTGAAACCCACCACCAGCGACCGGGTGAAGCTGAAGCCCTAGGCCGTGGGACCCAGCACGGACGGATCCCGCCTCCTCCAGGGCCACCCCCAGACCAGAGCTTGTTCTCAGGGTCCTCTCCCTGAACCCCAAAGTAAATTCACCTCACTGCCTCCCCGAGAGACAGGGAAACCGTTCTTAAAAATCTGCTGGCAAACAGCTACTCGGGGACCTGGGCGCCACCCTGCCATCTCCCTGCCCCTGAACACCACCTCCCTGCTCTGGGCAGACCCCGGGGAGGGGGGTGGGGTGGGCGCTGGAGAGAGCCTTCCCCACAGTGACGGCTGGGCTCCGGGGGTGAGAAGACAGCTGAGCTGCCCTTCTATGGGGAGGAGAAGGCGGATCAGGCCCAGAGTGTTGCTTCAGACAGAGCCTGCGCCGGAGGGAGGGCTCAGCAGCCCTCCACGCACCCCCCACCCCCTGCTTTGGCACCCACCGAGGACTCCCCTAGCCCCTCAAAAGCCACTTAACCACAAACTACTCCAAAACGTCCGTTCCCTTAGCATCCCTCGTTGGCCACAGCGTTGCTCTCTGAACTTCGTTCACGGACGCAGACGCTTCCCTGCCCGTGGCCTCCTCTCCCCTTCCCCAAGAACCAGCCGCACCTCCTCCCTGATGCTCCCGGAGATGCGGCTTCCACCGTGCACCCGGGGTGCTCACTGCCTGTGTGGACGGGAGTGTCCCCATGGAGGCTGATGACTGTGCTGGAGGCTGACGCGAGTGCCCATCCTTACACACGCGTCCGATCCGCTCTGGTCGAGGTTGTGTTTGAAGCAGTGGAGCTACAGAAAGAACATGGCGTGGGAGGGAGTCCATCCCTGTCTTCCCCCTCATTTCCTCGGTGGTACTTGGCAAGAATGTAACATCTCCCAGCCCAGTTTACTTACCTTGGAGTGAGTTATTTTTGTCCTGCCTACCTCCCGGAATTGCTAGGAGGGTCGCATGAGAAGGGTCATTCATTCACCAGCACTCCCCTTGGTCTACCTCAAGTTCAAGGCTCTGTGCAGCAGCAAGCAAGACAGACCATTGCCGCCCCCTCCGACATCATGGCCCCGTCGGGACAGCAGAGGGTAAATAAGTAATTCGGAAATAGCAAGCGTTTATGGAGCTCTTACCGCGGGGCCGGCGCTGTGCGAAGCGCTTTTCACACGTCGCCGTGTTCAGCCCGTGCAAGAAGGGCCGTGAGGAAGCCACGCGTGTGTACGTGTCACAGACGAGGAGACCGAAGCCCGGGGGTGGCGTCACGGGGCACCGAGCCGGGGCGTGAATGCGAGTGGTGTGACTCAGAGTCACTCTGCTTCGACCTCGTTGGACGAGGACAGCAGGGCCCCCGCCTTGGGAAGTGAAGTGGCTGAGGGCACTTGGAGGACGGGTCCTTATGGGAGTGGCGTCGGCCACCTTCGCCGCCTACTGTTGGCTAGAAGTCAGTCCCAGGGGCTCCCCACGCTGGAGGGTGGGGGGCTGCGTAGAGACATGGACACCGTCACAGGAAGTAAGGACGCCGGCGGCACTTCTTACACTTTTCCTGACCCCTCCCCCCACCCCGGGCTGCGGCGACCTGCTCTCCCTGCACTTGGTACCCGCATGGCTGCTGGGTGGGTGGTCCCAGGAATTTTATGGAAGAGTGGGAGCCACAGAGAGGAAAGGGGAGAGCCCCGTGAAGAATTCAGACATTTAGTCAAGCCTCTAAAATTCTTCCGTTCTTTCGTTTATCCCTTTCTCTGTTCACACGTGTGTTCATGCGTCTGGCGCAGCCGGTGAGCTCCCTCTGTGCCGTGCGCCCAGTGCCGTGCTGGGCGCTGACCCCCCACCGCCCCGTGTCCTCCCCACCGCCTCCAGGGCGGAGTTCACAGAGAGAAGAGGGTGGGGCACCTTCTGCCTGGGACGTCAGGGGTGGCCTCATGCCCCGTGGGTGGGGGGACCACCCTGGAGTTCACTGTGGGGACAGGCAGACAAAGGGAACAGTGTGCTCGCTTACAACAGAAAGAACACAGTCCACCTCTCCCTGCAGAGCCCGGTCGTCCATCACTCAGAACCTCTGCGACGTGCCGTGGAGGCGCCGCGGCAGCCAGAGCCTCCAGCCCAGAGCACTGGGCCCTCCGGGGTCATCGGTGTGTTTTACGGCAATTCCCGTTCTCCTGTTGTTCGCTGCCCCTCGCTGGTCTCGCCCTGGTTTTGTCCGCGAGTCTGATTTCTCAGACCTTTTCCTCCCTTGTGAGTTGCCGCTCCTGCGTCGCCGGGCATCAGAAACTCCCACCCCCTCAGGTCGGCACTGTGTGGTTGGGGTGGGTTAGCACGGTGGATCGCAAGAGCAAGCCTGCCCCCTCCCCCAGTGATGCCCCCAGTGACGGGGTGGGCGTCGTCTGGAAGCAAAGCGTTGCTTTGATCCATTGCATTGGCTTGCTGTTAGTCAGATCCTTGACTGTGAATTTCAGCTAACTGTAAAGCTGGGGTGATGTGTTTATTCAAGGAGATTGTAGATGAACACACTATGAGATTCTTAACAGAACACAGTGTCGGGGGTCCCTGGGGAAGGGCAGGAAGTGGTCACCGGGTTGGGCTGCTCAGAGGCCTCATTCCTACTCCTCCCTCTCCTGCCCCCTCAAACCTCTGCCCCCCCATCCTGTTGAAATTGCCTGATGAGTTCATTGCGGTCTCCAAGAGTGTATTAGTTTCCAGTGGCTGCTGTAACAAATTACCGTATTTTGCCATGTATGATGTGCACTCTTTTGCCCGGATTTTTGCTGTAAAACAAAGGATGTGCATTATACGTGGATGTAATGATTACCTACCATGGGTACAGTAATGGGCAGAACAGTCCCGTGGATAACACCCACAAAAACATGGGTGTGCGTGACACACGGCAAAGTGTGGCACCACAAACTGGGTGCCCTCAAACAGCAGAAATTTCCTCCCTCGGGGCTTTGGAGACCAGGGGTCGGAGATCCAGCAGGGCCACACCCCCGAGGGGGGCCTCCACCCTGGCCTCTCCCCGTGGGTGGCGGCCGCCTGGCACCCCTGGGCTCGGGCCGCCCCACTCCCATCTCTGCCTCTGTCTTCGCCTCGCCTTCTCCGCGTCTGTCTCCCCCTCGGCCTCATAAACCTCCATGTGCTGCAGTGCGGGAGGATGGACGCTTGGCATTGGATGCCGGGCCCACCCAGATGATCCTCATCTCCAAATGCATAGTCACACCTGCAAAGGTGCTTTTTCTAAACGTGGTCCCATGCACGGGGTCCAGAGGGCTGAGGCGGCTGTCCTCGGGGGGCCGTGTTTCAATGGTGCAGAGGACAGTGCCTGCACATAGTGGGGCCACGTGGTGTGGGTGCTGCTGCAGTCGGGTGACAGTTCCTTGTGTTTGTTCGAGGAGTGTCCGGGTGCTCACCACCCCCCGCCCTCCGCCGTGCTGGGTGCCAGGGCACAGAAGTGAATGGGAGCGTGGCCCTGCCCGGGAGGGCGCACCAGCAGGTGTCACAGATGTCCGAGGTGGGCTCTGAGCACAGGTGCTCGGTTAGGTGGGCGTCCTGGGCGCGGGCGCTGGACTCCCGCGGAGACTGACGGTGTTGTCACTTTGAGGCGGGGCCTTCCAAGCGCCCAACTTACAGACACACTTAGGAGCTGAGTCCAGATCACCGTTAACTTAGAAATTCAGTTTTAGACCGAGGCTCGGCCAGGCTGGTGAGCTGGTGAAGGACGCGAGCCTGGGGTGCCCGACTGTGAGCGCAGGCAGGCCGGGTGGCCGGCCGGCCGACGGCCCTGGCTGTCGTCCTGTCTCCCTCCCGTCCATCCTCGCTCCTTCGTCAGACCTTTCTGGGCATCCGCTGTGTCCTGTCTCCCGAGCTGGGTGCTCAGGAAGTTCGCCCTGAGCCTAGTGAGGAGGGCGAGACACCGGCCCGGCGATGCTCAAGGTAGGTGCTGGAGCCCGCAGTGGGTGCGCAGTTCTTCCCACAGGAGGGGAGGGCGGACCGAGGCCTGAAGGACCGGGAAGGGTTGTCTGGTGAAGCTGGCGGGGAGGGTGGCCGAGGCAGAGAGGGGGCCCCGTCAGGCACGGAGGCAGGAGAGCTAGCACCCGAGTGGGCAGAAGGTCTGTGACCTCTGGGGAATCTCCCCTCCACGGTCACGCCCAGCAGCTCCTCCCATGAGCTGGTTTGTGGATGGAAATTAAAAATGTGAGCACCGGCCTGCGAATCGAGAGGTCGCCAGTTCAATTCCCAGTCAGGGCACGCGCCTGGGTTGTGGGCCAGGTCCCCAGCAGAGCAGCACCTCTGTGGCATAGAAGTGACTTCTGTGTCCAGTCCCCTGGGAATATTGCTTTCGTTTGCCTTAGTACCTGTACAGGTGCGGCAAAGGCAGGGTAACAGTTGTGAGTACATGAAGCAGAGTTTATTCTTGTATTATTATTTATTAATTAGTGTGTTATTTTCCATATGAATAACTGTAAACCTACTTTTGCCCCGCCCTGTTTATTCTTTTTTTTTTTTTTCATTTTTTAAAATTTCTTTTTAGAGAGAGGGTAAGGGAAGGAGAAGGAGAAGAAGAGAAACATCATGTGTGGTTGCCTCTCACATGGCCCTCACGAGGGACCTGGCCTGCAACCCAGGCATGCACCCTGGTTGGTGCGCAGCTCTTCCCACAGGAGGGGCGGGTGGACCGGGAATCAAACCAGTGACTCTTTGGTTCACAGCCCACGCTCAATCCACTGAGCTACACCAGCCAGGGCCCACCCTGTATATTCTTTAGCTAAAGACGCACGCACAAACTTTGGGTTATTTATTTTACCAGCCTCTCCGTTTTTCTTTACAGCCGTTCACCACGTACATTGTATCGCTCGACTGTGATGTCTTTATGGCCAAACGTTGCGTTTCTGGTGTTGCCGTCGATGTGAGTGGGAAGGAGATGAGAGTGCTAGGACTCGGGGGACGTCCCAGCTCCTGTCCAGGTCAGCCCCTGTCCCCCAGTGCCGGCCCCGTCTCTGGGTTCCTCTGGCAGGACGGGGGCCCCTGGGCAGGTGGAAGTTCCTGGAGACCCCGACCTGTGCTCAAGTTCTGTGCCAGGCTGTGGGTAGCAGAACCGCTAGAGGAGGGGCCTGGCACTCTCCGGGGGGGAGAGAGGCGAGAGGTGGCCACAGCAGTGGCCATGCTGCGTCTAAGGCCCAGAAAACCAGGTGGCCGGTTCCAAGGGTCGGGGAGTGGGGCACAGAGGTGGCAGGGCAGTTCTGGGTAGCAAGAAGGCACTGGGGTCGGGTGGGGTGCATTTTAGTGCCGTGACTTCCTCCTCATTGTGAACCTTGGGGCTAGTGATGGATCTAGAACCTCGATGTGGTCTGGGGGGGCCCTGCATGCTACTGGCCACCTGTGTGGGGGTGCTGGCAGGAGATGTGGGGACACTGGGCCCTCAGCCCCCCTCCCGTGCAGGTGCCGGCCCGGCATGTGAGCTGGTGTTTCTCGTGTCTGGAGATCAGCAGGAGGGAGGCGCTGTCTCACGGCCTCTGCCCTGCCGCTCAGGCCTTCGCCGAATTCCACCCGGGGCGGTGTCCGGGGGCTGCCGACCCTGACCAGCACCCGTGGGAGGCTGCAGTGGAAAGTTTTCTGGGCAGGTGAACTGTATTCCCAGGAAAGCAGATGTGAGTATGAGATATTCTGCCCTCCTTCTTTCTATTTTAAAATGTGTTTTTTTTTATTATAAAATTTCTAACATACCAATAAAAAGGCAGACACCCCAGAGGTAGTAAATGAAGGGAATGGCTCAGGCCCATTTCCGGCCTGCCTCTGGTCCCCACCCCCACAGGCGGCCACCTTCAGCCCGGGCCTGTGTCCACCCAGCTCTCGGGGTGTTTACTCTCCGCCAGGGGTGGGGGTGGGGGGCGGGCCTTACTGCAGACCAGAAAATGCTCTGGGATCGAGAGGGGCTCCTTTTGGATCCCAGAACCACGGGCTCTTTAAATCCTGGTCCTCAGCCGGCCCGCTGCTCAGGGTGCTGGGGTGAGGCTGGGTGGACTCAGCCCAGGGAGCCGGGCGGGCCCTCTACCCCCCCCCACCTTCATGGGATGCAAGGGTGGACACACGCTCTCCCCCTCCCCGCCCCTCCCCCACCCCCTGCACTTGGACATGACGCTTCTGCGGGCTTTATTGGCCCGGCAGGTCAGGAACGCAGAAAGACCGCTTTAATGGGTGAGGCTTGTATTTATCCAGGTG